TAAACCCCAAACCCTAAACCTCCAGGTAACCTTTTTGCAGGGCTTTGGGCTTAAGGGTTCAAGGTTCGGGTCTAGGGCGGAGGCCTTGGGGCCTTAAGTTTAACGGTTTAGGGTTTAGGGTTTAGGGTTTAGGGTTTAGGGTTCAGGGTTTAGGGTTTAGGGTTTGTAAGGCTTTCGGGTCTAAGGCTCTACGTAGGGTTTAGGGGTTAGGGTTTGAGGCTTTCGGGTCTAAGGCTCTAAGTAGGATTTAGGGCTTAGGGTGTGGTTTAAGGCTTTCGGGTCTAAGGCTGCAAGCTTTAGGGATTCTCTGGCAAGGTTTGACATGATTTGGACACTCTAGGGATTTTAGGAGGGACCCCGAATAGGGACCCTTAATCCCATTACCTTAGATAACCATTGTATAGTCCTTATATACCCCTTATATAGCCCGGTAGTCTCTATATTAACCCCAATAACCTACAAGGGTCCCTATTAAGGGTCCCTCCTAAAGCCCTTAGAGACACATCGCAGTGTGCCAATGGGCTTAGGGTTTGGATTTAAGGCTAGGGCAAGGAAACTTTGGCAAAGTGATCTTCGCAAAATAGTTGTACCCTTACCCTAAACCCTAAACCCTAAACCCTAAATATCGGCTCAAAAAGCCTCAACTGTACCCTAAACCCTAAGCCCTCAACCCTAAACCCGTACCACTAGATTCCACTGGTCCCGAGCGGCTTCTCATCGACAACGGCATCGCCCGAGGGTTCCGGGACCTGGGTGTTGCGGACCCAGGGGCTTTAGGGCACTGTAGAGCTTCAGAGAGTTTTAGGATTTAGGGCTTTAGAGTTTTGGGGTTTAGGGTTTAAGGCTTTAGAGTAGTTTTAGGGTTTAGGGTTCAGGGTTTTAGAGTCTTAGGGTTGAGGGTTTAGGGTTTTTAGAGTTTTAGGGTTGAGGGTTCAGGGTTTTAGAGTTTTAGGGTTGAGGGTTTAGGGTTTAGGGTTTGAGGGCTTAGAGTTTAGGGTTTAGGGCTGGAAGGCTTAAGGTTTAAGGATTAGTGCTTATGGCTTAGGGCTTCAGGGCTTAGGGTTCAAGTTTAAGGGTTATGAGATTCGCTGGACAGAAACAAAAACCGATCCTCCACACATTGCAAACAGTTTGTCAACTCGGTACCCCCAGTTCCTAAGCCCTTCCCGGCCCTTCCCTATGTCACAAGCCCACCCACTACGTACCCCACGTAGGAGTTAGGATCAAGGGAGCTTTGGGCAAAGGGTCCCCTTTGAGGGGCCTGATACTAGCCTCAAGCCCCACAGAACCCTGACAGGCTTTCAAGAGCCCAAGCAAATTTAGAGAACCTTTCGCCCCAGAACCAAAAACAAGCTCCTGCCGAAAAACCGAGTAGCGGTCAAACCATAACCCTAAACCCCACACCCCTAAACCCTACACCCCTAAACCCTGGACCCCTCATCCCCAAACCTTTGAACCCCCAAAACCCTAAACCCCTACACCCTAAACCTCTGAACCCTTAAACACAGGCCACCTAAACTCATAGAACCCTCCGGAGCACCCCTTGAAACCCCGAACCCTAAACCCTGAACCCTAAACCCCTGAACCCTAAACCCTTAAACCGCA